ATAAATAATTTAAATGAAGAAAAGTTAAAAGCTACGACGTACGTCATCCGGGCCTAAGTGATCCAACAAATTGCGGTATAGTGCGGCATTGAATCTTGGATTATTTCCGTAATCCATACCCCTCACGCAGTACCTAAAGGAAATGAAAAACATTTTATTCTTAGCATATATTTGGTGAAGAGATGAATAGTAATAAATGATATAACTTGATGACTTACTTTGTTGCGTACGGGAAACCGAAAGTGTTGTTGTTGACGGGGTTTAAGGACTCCATCCTCCACCAACCCCAGGCTTGTAGTAAAAAAGCGCACCCATAAAATGTACATTTTTCCTCGACTTCATTTTTTGCACAAGGAACTGTATAGATGGGCTAAAACTGCAGAACCCCAACTATATTTTCTTGTTTTTTCAAAATTTCTTAGTAAATGTAAATACATAAAATTTACACTATTTCTCGTACTTTCGGGAAATAAAAAGGTACCAAATAGTATCATAAGATAAGTTCTGGCTTTTACTACTTTGTCTTGCTCGGAGGAATTTTCGTTTAATTCCAAACTTGCATAATGACTTTTCAGCTCAGTGAGAGATGTATGCTATGGTATGTATTTATAGGCAAAAAAATTTCATATAGTGGTTGCTGGTGCTTGCATGCATGCGAAGTGTCACTCTTGCAGGCTAGGTGGCAGCCTAGGGGGTTACATATATGCATGCATGTACAAAAAATGAAAGGTGTCACTCTTGCAGGCTAGGTGGCAGCCTAAGGATGTATCACAATTGGACAGTAAGGGAGGCGCCATTGGACTTGGCGAAAGAGTACAAAAATGAATGGTGTCTCCATCCCAATTGGCGAATAAGAGGTGTCCTTTGTTGTAGGCTAGGCTCACGCTACGTGACAGCCTTTGGGATGCCATGCCTGAATGCATGTAACCCTATTGGAGGTGATGGGAGGAGACTTAAAACATACAGTATAGATGCCGAGTAGGCGCAGGCTAGGTGGCAGCCTAGGGGGTTACATATCTGCATGCATGTATCACGATTGGATAGTAAGGGAGGCGCCATTGGACTTGGCGTAAGAGTACAAAAATGAATGGTGTCGCCACCCCAATTGGCGAATAAGAGGTGTCCTTGGTTGCAGGCTAGGCTCAGGCTACGTGACAGCCTTTGGGATGCCCTGCATGTAACACTATTGGCAGCCTTGGGGGTTGCATCCTTACTTAATTGAAATTTTTAGTCTTACGTTTATCATAACATTGATTCACTTAATCTGTCAAATCTTCCAACCTTCAAACGTTATTACAATCAAACCTTCAAACCTTCAAACAATCAAACATATAAACCTTCAAATTACTCATAAAGTTCAAACATTCCAACCTTCAAACCTTACAGCATTCAAACCTTCATACAATCAATAAACTTCAAACATTCCAACCTTCGAATCACTTATAAAATTCAAACATTCCAACCTTCAAATCTTCAAACAATTCTACGCAATGGCCTCTGCACCATAATTTGTCGTCAAAGCACATTTCAACGGTGAGACATACATTTGTCCCACCGCTGGGTTTTTGTTTAGAGACACAGACAACATTTGATTTCTCTTAAACGGGAAAGCCAATTTCTCGTACTTCAAAAAATGATTGGAGGCCAAAATTGAACGAGGCCCGGTGTCCCAGATATTTTATCAGAATCCAGTTTTTTTTGGAAACAACCAAGTAATTTTTTATAAGGTTGAAGTTCAAGATGACGAGGATCTCCAGAATATGTTTTCCAGCCATGTCTATTCTAGGTACGACTCTATTGAGTTGTACGTTATGCTGCGAGAGCCTCAGGTGACACAAGTGGTTCATCCTTTGGAGAATGAACAAGCTGAGATAGATGCAGTTGATGATGAAAAATAAGATTACGAGTTAGAGTTTGATGAAATGGTGAATGATGATTCCGACGATGATGACATCCCTAGTATTCCTGCAAACGAAATCTACACACCACCTCCGCACATGACAAACTTCAACATGGGCGGAGATGAACTTCTACTGACTTATTTTTCAATCCGTATATGCAGTCGGATGAAAATTTAAAAGAGAAGGACAAGTTTCGTAACAAAGAGGAATGCATCAGGGCCATTAAAAAATTCCACATGCTCAACTCGGTTGATTTTAAGGTGGACCGTGTCAACCCGGAAAGGTACAAGATCAAGTGTGTCCACCCTGACTGTATGTTCAAGCTGACCGCATCATACAGATTAAGGGGTGACTGCTGGGTCATAGGTTCCATGACTACCCACACTTGTGTAAGTTCCACTCAATCACAGGACCACCGAAAACTCAACTACGATCTCATCTGTCAAGAAATCCTACCCCTGGTCAGCAACGACCCATCTTTGAAGGTGAAAATAATCATCTCCCACATCACCACAGGTTTTAACTACACTCCGTCTTACCGTAAGGCGTGGTTAGCAAAGACTAAGGCGATTGAAAGGGTGTACGGAAACTGGGAGGAGTCATACCAAGAACTTCCCCGCTACCTGAATGCACTCAAGACGTATTCTCCAGGTAATGTTTACGTTCTGGAAACAGTGCCAGCATACGCCCAAGATGGTAGTCTACTAAATGGCAACGGAATATTCAGTCGAGTGTTTTGGGCATTTCAACCATGCATCACAGGGTTTGCATCATGCAAACCAATTATACAAATTGATGGGACTTGGTTGTATGGGAAGTACAAAGGCACGCTACTGATGGCAGTTGCACAAGATGGCAACAACAACATTTTCCCCATTGCCTTTGCCCTTGTCGAGGGGGAGACCGGTGGTGCTTGGAGCTTTTTCTGAAAAATCTGCGGACACACGTGGCTCCTCAACCAGATCTCTGTTTGATCTCGGACAGACATGCCTCCATTGAAAGTGCCTACAATAATCCTGCAAACGGTTGGCATGACCCTCCTTCTACGCATGTCTATTGCGTTAGGCATATCGTCCAGAATTTCTCGAGGGAGATCAAGGACAAAACATTGAGGAAAGCGGTTATGGATGCGAGATATGCATTGACACAACCCACATTCAAATATTATCGCAACGAGATCCGTTTGTCAAATCCGGAAGCCGGTAGGTGGATCGATAATATTCCGGTGGAAAAATGGACTAGGTCACACGATAATGGCCAAAGATGGGGAATATGACAATGAATCTTATTGAATCAATGAATGGGGTATTCAAACGCATACGAAACCTCCCAATCATTGCCTTGGTAAAATCTACGTATTTTAGGATGGCTGCGTTATTTGCCAAAAGAGGTGAAATATGGAATGTCGTGTTGCAATCTGGACAACTATGGAGTGAAAGCTGCATGAAATATATTAAGGGTGAAAGTGCTAAAGCCAACACTCATATGGTTATATGGTTTGACCGACACAGCCACAACTTCATTGTGAAAGAGACAATCGACCACAATGAAGGCCTGCCATGACAAGAATATAGGGTCATGCTACCTTCTCAATGGTGCGATTGTGGAAGGTTTCAAGCATTTCGTATGCCTTGCTCTCATGTCATTTTCGCTTGTGCTCATACCCATCAAGACGCGCTGCAACTTCTGTCAAACATTTACAAATTTGAAACGTTGCTCAACATTTACAACAACAACTTTCCTTTGGTAGCAAAACCAGATTATTGGCCTGCATACGACGGCGAAATAGTGTGGCACAATGACCAAATGCGAAGGAACAAGAAGGGTCGTCCCAAAAGTAAGCGCATCACAACAGAAATGGACGATCTTGACAAGTTGGAAAGAAAGTGTAGTTTATGCCGTCAGTTCGGACACAATCGTAAAAACTGTCTGAATCGGGCGTCTGCCTCGACCACATAAAAATTGTAATACATAAAATCTTTCCTTAATTATGTTGTAAACATTTGGGTTTTCCGTTAACAGATTTTTCTACAATTAATAAAACGCGTACAAGAATAATTAATGATATTCCGTCTATAAAATTACAACTGTTAACACAATTTTATCTGACCCATGCATCATCAACATTACATCGCTGTCTGTTTTGACTTCCTCCAACCATACATTAGGTCTTCCTGTCGCATGTGAGGTTGTTGTTCGTTTTCGCTGGATCCTTCGAATTTTTTCCCTCTCCGCAATGTCTCCATCTAGCCATCGCATAAACTCCCGCTTCAGACGCTCCATGGAGTGAATGTGCCAGAATTTCGTGGCGGAGAAGATAACGTAACCATCTATGCTAAAAATCATAGGCGACATCATGACGCAAATAACAGAGTACAAAATAAAAATACAGTGCGAGAAAGTGTGCGAAATTTCGGAGAAACGGACGAATTATTTATAAAACAACATTTTGCCCTAGTTTTGCCCTAGGAGCCAAGTGAGATGGCGCCTCCTCTCACTTTTAAGGAGCATGCGCCATCTCACTTGGCTAAAAGCCAAGGGAGATGCCAAGTGAGATGGCGCCTAGGGCAAAAGTGTAGGTGCATGCGCCAATTCAGATGGCTCCTCTTTTGGGGAGTCATCTGAAACATGATTATTTGCGTAATTTTTTCGGAAACCCGGTTATTTACGAAATATTATTTTAATACATGATTATTGTAAAAAAAAATTCAATTTAGAGAGGTAATGATAATTTTTTTTTTTAAAAGTTAACAGTCTTATTAAATATTATTTTTCAAATACAATTCAAATTTTGCTTGAGAAGGAGGCATATGTCAAGCATTGAAAACATACAGACCAAGACAACTCGACAATACTTTGGTGCAAATAGTAGTAGAAGTTATAATCATCAGAATTCAAAAGCAAATAAGAGAATTTATTCCATATTGCATTCTCGAGAAAATATATATTTATAATTTCACGAGTAACTTAAGCAATATTGTTATACATATTACACATAATGCAGACACCCAATATATTATTCTATATTTTGTTTCTTTGCTGTAGAAACAAACATAAAAGGGTGGTGGAGCTATATATTATATAGGTTTGATATAAGTTTCAAGGGCAGAAGACGACTCTATAGTTGGTACCACCTGGGCATGCAACCGTTTTAGTATTATCACTCGGATACTGATAAGCATCAGGGCAAGAACGTTCTGTGCAAGTTCGCACTTTGTTGCATCCATTAGAGGTTGGGGCAAATTGGATTGGAACATTGAAACCATCAATCACAGATATATCATAGTAATCCAAATTGTTTCCACCGTTAAGGGTGAATTCAGCAAGTGTGAGTGGAGGTTGACCGGATAAGCTGCAACTGCGGTCACCACCGCAGCCACCGGTTTGACAGTTGCCTCGGCCAGAACCGTCAAAGTTGCAACCAGTTCGGCCCCAAATTCTGCCTGATGAGGTACCAGCTGGGATGTATAAGTTCCATGCTTGGCCTGGATTTAACTGCACACCACCACCGTAGGGAGTGGCAGCTGGCCAGACGGTATAGGGGCATCGGTTGACGATGTCAAACCTTGCTGCCTGTGCAGATATCAAACAGACAGCCAATATAGACAACAATGTTATATTTTTTAGTGTCATTTTCTTAGTGTGAAATAAACAATTAATTCACAAGATTAGAGCACAAGAGAAGTGTTGTTTTGTGAGTAGAAGTGAGAATCTAGCCTTACATTATATAGCCCACAAACAGGACCTTAGTTAATATGAAACTAAAGTATGTATGTAGAAACAATTTTGTTTAATAGTTTTCAAACATAATTTGTAATAAAAATATTAGTAAAAAACAAATAGGTTTAATGGACTACATATAATGTCATCTAATAAAAAATCTTTTAATATATTCAAATGATTTTAATATAACAGAATAGAATACATGTCATTTATTAATTGTCAGTATAACACCTTGTTTCGATTGATAGATTCGGATGAAATAGAGCGGAATGAGACGAAAAAAAATAATATTCTATTATATAGATAATTTAAAAATGGGTAGACAAGAACGGAACGACATGAATTAGTATATATTTCATTTTATTTTATCATTTACTATCATATTTCTTCATCTTGAAATTTAAACAGAATAAACAACTTACTTTGTTCAATTCTAAATAATAGAATAATATATTTATTTTGCTCTATTTTATTCTACTCTATCTTACTCAACTCCACTCTATTCCACTTCATTCATTTCATAATAAAAATAATTTAAAATTATCATACATTAGCTATGCGCGTCTACTTTCTCAATATATATATATATATATATATATATATATATATATATATATATATATATATATATATATATATATATATATATATATATATATATATATATATATATATATATATATATATATATATATATATATATATATATATATATATATATATAACTTTTAAGAAAAAAGCTTTAAAAACCATAATTTTTTTTGAAAAGCAAATATAACTAATGTAAATCTAAACTAAAAGTAAAAAATAAATATAATTTGTTATAAAAATGAAAAAAATATAAATAAATATCATATTAAAATCTAATGAAACAATTAATATGAGAAAAAAATTTGAAGAAAAACACTTAAAAATTGATCTCATTTTAGTATAAGAATATATTCTCCTAATGAGCCATAGAGTTAAAACAATAAGACAAAAAAAAATCCCAAAAAAAATATGGCCTCTTTGCAAGAAAATTTGTGGCCTCATTACCTTGTCTCTATTAAATTCAATTCAAAAGTTTTGAAAAATATTTAAAAAAGACCAACATGATCGATAATGGGACGGGTGTACTGTCATTAATTAAAGAATTAAAAAGGTTTGTAGTGGATTTACTGCATTTATTTGGATGGATATCAATATCATCGTTAACTAGTAACAGATCCATGTGTAAGTACGCGTGATTTAATTCTTAAGATGATGAATATTGTACTAATGAAATTAAACAGTTTCAATATTTAGGATGAAATATGTTGAATTTAGATTCACAAAATATAACAGATTTGAAATAAATATCTAGTGTAGTTGATTTATAGAGCAGTAATATAAAAATACAACACTAAAATGGAGCAACTATAGTCAAAAAGTGTCTTCAAATGTACTTCAATGCGATATGACAGTACTTCAATGCCATATGACGTCATATATCAAAGTATTTGATTCTAATCTGAAAAAAAATAGAAATACAAGAATAAGAAAAAATGTAATATAATGATAGTATAGTTGAAAATATTAAAATACATTAAAACATTTATTTGAATGGTCAAAGTACAACAATAAGTTAGTTGCATATATACGTTAATGAAGAAGACGTGAATGGTAAAACATATATGAAAAATGAATGAAAATGAGTGTAGATATGCACATATACCTGGTTCTTAGTATTATACTTATAATAAGTGTTGTTGCCAAACTCATCCTTAGAGGTATGTTCATTTCCTCAATGTTTGTATAGAATAAAATTTGTAGTTACTCTTATAAATGACAAAAATATATCAATGAAATATATATATATATATATATATATATATATATATATATATATATATATATATATATATATATATATATATATATATATATATATATATATATATATATATATATATATATATATATATATATATAAACGAGAATATCTAAACGACATTGTCGAAAATTTGTTTGAAAATTACATTTGTTGTTTCATGTAATGGCAATTTGTCTTTGTCATGATTAAGATTCTCAAGTCTGTTTTATTTTTTACTCTAGATATTGCAACATAAAGTTGATCATGACTAAAGACCTCTTTTGACAAATATAAACCAACATAGTCTAATGATTGATCTTAGGATTTATTTCATGTCATTACAAATGAAAAAAAATAATAGGGAATTGTCTTCTAATAAGATTGAATGGTCAAGGGGATTGTGAAGGAGACAAAAGTCATTCGAGAAATGTAAATAGTGTTTCCAATATGGGTACCTGAAATAATCTTAGCCTCGATGACATGATTTTCTTACCTTGTTACCGGCAAACCAAATATCTTATGACAACTTAAAAATTCAGGAGTCAAATGCTCAAAAGCCTCATTATCATTTACTTCTGACACTACACCAAAAATAAGATTAGACAACACACCTTAGGCAGCACTTCTTATCAAAAGCGTTGCTAAAAGTCCATTTCAAAAACGCACGAATTTGGTCGCATATCTTAGACAACGCTTTCTAAAAAAGCGTTGCCTAAGGGTGTGAAAATGGTTTGATAAAGCGCTGCTAAAGAGGGATTTTAGAAAGCGCTTGGAATAAACGCTGCTAAATGGGGTAGGTACTGTTAGGGGTGTTCGCGGTGCGATTTGGGCAGTTTTGAAGAAAAAAATCACCCGAACCGCAAGAGAAAAAAATATGCGGTTCGGTTTGGTTCGGTTGGATTTTAAAAATAAATCCGAACCAAACTAATGCGGTTTGGATTGGTTCGGTTGGTTCGATTATTTATAAAAAAAATTATTAAGTCATACATACAAATATAGAGGAAAATATAATTTTGTGTTTAATTGTTCATACATTACCATAAAAAAATTTATAATTGTCAAAATAAGTTTATAATTTGATACATAAAATTGCGTATTATAATTTTATCTAAATCTAAAGAATGATATAAACAATATTGCATTCTTAAATAAATATTATACAAAGAATACGATAAAATATATTTTGTGAAAATAATATTTATAAATGAATAATGTTTTATTTTTTTATGATTTGTAAATTAAAATGAATATAATACAAAATATGATAAAATACACACATAATACATGTTGATTTCTCTAAAGAATTAAAAAATATATATTGGTTAGTAAGATTTTATAACATAATGCAGTTTTGTTTGGTTTGGTTTGGTTTGTAAAATACAAACCGCAAATCGAACCGAACCGTGCGGTTCCGCGAGAAAATGACCCAAACACATCCGAACCAAATGCGGTTTTTTGCAGTTTCGGTTTGGTTTGGTTTGGTTTTGCGGTTTTCTATTGGGCCGGTTTGGTTTTGAACACCCCTAGGTACTGTAGTGTTTTTGAAAAGCGCTGCCTAAAGGGTAGGCTTACAAAACTCTTTTTAAAAGCGCTGCCTAAAGGATGGGCTTACGCAACGCTTTATAGAAGCGTTGCCTAAAGGAGGGGGGTTACACAGCGCTTTCTACTAGAAGCGCTGGCTAAGGGTGGACTTACGCAGCGCTTTTAAAAAACGTTGTCTAAAGTCCTGTTTTAAAAATATAAAAAAACATGCCCAACACATAGAAACATTATTATTTCTAAAATCCCATTCTCAAGCCCAACACAGTACGAACCCTCACGCAGCGCTTAAGTTCTGTTTTTTCCGCTTGATTCTAAACGAAAATCGATTCTATTTGTTCCACATTATTCAAGGCTCTCATCCTTCTTCCATCCAAGACCGTTTCATCCTTTCTTCCATTCACAACCAAGATTATCTTCTCCTCTAGGTATGATTTTTGATATATTTGATAATGTTGATATATAATATTGCATTTGGTTTAGTTGATAGTATTTATAGTGTTGATTTAGTGTTGATAATGTTGTATTATGTTATGCTTTGTGTGGCATGTGGTTTTTGCATGTAAGGTATTTGTGAAAATGTCACAATGAGTTTTGCTTGTAAGGTATTTGCGTAAATATCACAATGAGTATTGTATGTATTGATTGAGAGAAAATATGTTCCTATACAATTAATCGAGCTATAAATTTTGGTTTGTGAGGTTGTCGTATTAACACTTATAGTGTTGAAATTGAAAGCACTTCACATAGAGTTGAAATTGAAATTGAAAGAACTCATATAATTGAAATTGTTTATTAATTTAATATTGTTTTATTAATAAAATATATGTTAAAAAGAATATACAAGATACCCCGATTCTTAGCGTCAAACTAAATTACTTTATGATTTCACTTTTTTTAAAATAGTTTTGAAAAATATGATAAATTTTAGAGTTAGTTCTAAATATTAATTACTAAATAATTAATATACATTTTTAAAAAAAATAAATTTTGATTTTTTTGAAATAATTAATAATAATATAATATTATTATATTATTATTATTACTATTTTATTATTTTATTATTATATATTAAAAAGGGTAGTTACAGTATTTATATTCTAATATAATTCTTATTCTATAGATTTTTTTTTATTATTATAAAATTAATTGATCATTTATATATATGTTACTTGTGAAGAGTGGAGTTTCTGAGCGTTTATAAGAATATTACATTGTGTAGTTTCAGAAATTGCTGACTTTTTTACATGTATTAAGTTTTTCCTATGATTTTCTATGAATATGCCTAATTGGTATTAAGTTTTTTGTCTCTGTCCTTTTTTTTAAGTATTGTTTTTGTTTAACTTACTTAATAGTAAGACCATGGATAAAAAATAGATGTTTATCAATCGATTATTCAAAGAGTACGAGAATGAGGTATTGGAATTCGTTAAGTTTGTTGTTGGACATGCCGAAGTAGCCAATCGAATGAAATGCCATTGCTTAAGTTATTGTTTTGTGGGTCGGGTTGATGCAGTTAGGTTGCAATCGCATTTATTGA